ACTGTCTATTAAGATTCTAGGCAGCAACCAGAATGGTGGGTCTCTGATCAGAAGGGAAGTGGGTTTGGCTTGGCGGAAGCCTGAGTTCAAGGGAATGGACTACACAAACCATGGTAGGGAGCCACGTTTTTACAAGTGTGCAGAAAAATAAGTTAAACATGGTTACTCAGTAGGAATGGGCATCTGATTTGTTTTTTATCTTTGGTGATTCTTTCCCCACTTAAATTGATTGTGGGAATTGGAGGTCAAGCCAAAGTCTCAGCAGTACTAAGACATTCTACTTTGGGATTTAATACCTTTTGCCAATAAATATAAGAAGTAAAGCTATTTTGTTGGTGAAAAGCATGGGTATCATGATCCCTAGTTGTGATGGAGGAGGGGTGTGAAGATGGTAAAGCAGAAAAGATGGGCAGGCAGAGTAGTGGGGCCAATCCAAGGGCAAGAGAGATAGCTATGTTATGCCCCAGCCAAAGCTTCAGGAAGAATAAAGCTGGAAATTTCTTCTTATGGGGCCTGTGGTGGTTTAAAAGAAAATGGCCCCCAAAGGGAGTGGTACTATTAGGAGATGTGGACTTGTTGGAGTTAGTGTGGTCTTGTTGGAGGAAGTGTGTCACCGTGGAGGCGGGCTTTGAGGCCTCATATGTGCTCAAGTCACCTCCAGTGAGACAGATCACTTCCTGTTGACTTCAAGTCAACATGTAAGAACTCTCAGCTCCTTCTCCAGCACCATGTCTGCCTTGATTTCCACCATGATGATAGTGGACAAAACCTCTGAATTGTAAGTGAGCCACCCCAATTACATGTTTTCTTTTATAAGACTTGCCAAGGTCATGGTGTTTCTTCATAGCAATAGAAACCCTAACTAAGGCAGGGCCTTGCGGTGGTTTGAAAGAAAATGGCCCCCAAATGGAGTGGTATTGTTGGTTGTTTTTTCTACTCTTTTTCTCTTTGATTTTTGGTTTTATGTGGGCCCACCACCTAGCTCCCAAATAAATCACACACGGAGACTTATTATTTCTTATGAATGCCCGACCTTAGCTTGGCTTGTTGCTAGCCAGCTTTTCTTAACTTAAATTATCCCATCTACCCTTTGCCTCTGGACTTTTACCTTTCTCTTATTTCTGTAAATCTTACTCTCACTTTTACTCCATGGCTAGCTGTGTGGCTGTGTGGCTGGCCCCTGGAATCTTACTCTCCTTGTTCTCTTGATCTTTCTTCTTTTCTTCCCAGATTTCTCCTTCTATTTATTCACTCTGCCTGCCAACCCTCCTATCCTTTCTCTTGCCTTGCTATTGGCCATTCAGCTCTTTATTAGACCATCAGGTATTTTAGATACACAAAGTAACACAGTTTCACAGCGTTAAACAAATGCAACATAAAGGAATGCTACAAATCTTTGCATCATTAAACAAATATTCCACAGCATAAACAAATATAACACATCTTAAAATATTATTCTACAACAGAGTGGCACTATTAGGAGGTGTGGCCTTGTTGGAGGAAGTGTGTCACTGGGGGCTTTGAGGTCTCTTTTGCTCAAGTTTCCCTCAGGGTGACAGTCAATCAACTTCCTGTTGCCTCTGAGTCAAGATGTAGCAGTTTCAGCTCCAGCACCACATCTGCCTGGACGTTGCCATGCTCCCCATCATGATGATAATGGACTGAACTTCAGAAACTGTAAGTGAGCCCCCTCAATTAAATGTTTTCATTTATAAGAATTGTAGTGGTCCTGCTCTCTCTTCACAGCAATAAAAACTTAACTAAGACCAGCCCCATCCCTGGACAGAACGAAAGGCAACTAAGGAGTGCTCAGAACAGAAATAGTCTTCCCCAGGGAAGAGCCCTCCAATTGATCATAAAAACAAACAAAAACAAAAGCAAAACCAAGTGGTCAGTCTTGAGATTATATATGTACACAAATGTTATGAAATGAGCAGGTTGTATTTATATTCAGAAATGTGTGTGTGTGTGTGAGAGAGGGGGGAGGGGAGGAGAGAAACTAATTTAATTTCACAAAATTAAAAAATATTTTAAAAAGAGTAAGTTTTTAAAGTTGGAGATTTCTGGTTTGAGGAGATAGCTTAACACTAAGAACACTTTTTATTCAAGCATGACCTATGTTTAGATCACCAGCACTCACGGAAAAAGCTGGGCATGGCTGCATACCTGAAACTCCAGTGCTCTGGAGTGCTTTCATGGCCATCAGCCTCGCTCCAGATTCAGTAAGATGCCCTGTCTGGAAGGCATGAGGCGGAGAGTGTAGAGCAAGCCACCTGCCATGCTTGTGTCACCATGCCTGGCTGTTTCCAGGGTGGCTTTGAACTCACAGACATCCAGATGGATCTCTGCCTCTGGAATGCTAGGATTAAAGGCGTGAGTGCCACCATTTTCAGGCCTCTATATCTAGTGGCTGTTCTGTTCTCTGACCCCAGATAAGTTTATTAGGGTGCACAATATTTTGGGGAACACAATATCACCACACAGAAGTGCAGCTCACATAAAGATATTGCCAGAGCTGGAATCGTGCATCAGCCAGGCAAAGAGCAGCAAGAATTGTTAGCAAATACCAAGATCTAGAGAGAAGCAAAGAAAGACCTTCCCCCAACCTTCTGAAGAGGCTCTGCAGTTCAAGGATCTTGGCATCGCACCTTTACACTACAGAAGTACCAGAGAACAAGCTCTGTTGCTTAGGTTCTAGGCCAACAGGATTGCAGTACTTTGTTAGGGCAGCTCCTGGGACAGCTGTCTGCAGATGACTTTCAACTGTGTGGTTACCGTGTTTATGTGTCCAGTGAGCTGCTGGCTTTGGCAGTGTGTGTCCCTTGTACTACACTGCCCTTAGGTGCCATCCTTTTACAGTGCTAGGAAGAACTTCACTGATCCCCTATCAAGGCAAAGTTTGGTGGGAAGATGGGCCGTGGGGGACCACTATAGAACAGAGCCAGAGCTTGACCGTCTTATCTGCATTCTGAGAGTTAAGATTTCCTCTTTCAGTACCAACAGTTGACAAATTCCCATACTTCACCTTCTTCCACATCTCACCAGTATACAAGGAAGTTATGAGCCTTGGCTAATTAGAAGTGTAACTGTTGAGACAAACAGCAGAACTCAGAGTCAGGAGCAGCCAGGCCAGATGAGTGTCTGCATTTCGTCACTAGGACATCCAGGTCTTTCTTTCCTGAAGAAGGGGAACAGGCCAAGTTCTAGGATTAAAAAAAAAAATCTTCTCAGTATGCAGCCAAGCTGAAAACTTCTATTAGGTAATAACCTAGGTGATATGGAGTCTTTGAGGGATTCTCCCAGTTTCTGACTAGATCATGAAGGCGAGAACATGGAATGAGGTAATTAATTGTGCCTGGTTTCTGACACTCAGGCTTCTCTGAAAGCTACTCTGTTTTAGAAATAGTATATCCACTTTTGCTCCAAAGTCAAGGGCAATTTTACATCCAATCACTTACCAACTTGCCCTGACTCTTTCTTTAAATGCATCCCAAGCGTACCCTATTTTTAATTCATTTGACCATTGTACTAGCTCAGGCTCACCACGTCTGCCTGGATTTGTACATGGCATCCTGACCAAGAACATGGCATCCTGACCAGGAACATGGCATCCTGAGCAGGAACATGGCATCCTGAGCAGGCCTCCTACCTCTAGTCTCCTATGTTCCCTGTTCATTCCACATTGTCTAATACCATGTTCATTTTAAAACACAAATGTTGTAATTTCCTGGTGGTGTAGAACCTGGTAGCCAGCGTCCTGCAGATCAACTTGCCTAAGTTCTATTGTGGCTACTGGGATATGTATCTTACCCACGATTCTCCATCTGAGAGAAAGACACACTGCACTGATAGCAAACACAAAGAGACTGTGAAAGACCCGTCCCTACTAGAAATCCACGGGAGAGCAGGCCCAGAGCCTGGTCGATCACACAACTGCTGCATTTCAACAAGGAAAGAGGCCTGCAGCTCCATTCTCTGCTCCTCCTCCTGCAGAGGCCATGATCCGCCCTCCCCAAATCTTCTGGGTCCTCCTTTCCCTGTCGTGATGCCCAATGAACATGGGAGGTCTTCCCTTGATGCCAGTGATGGGCCCTCCTCCTGAGATGATGCCTGTGCGAACTAACCGCTCCTGCTGTGAGGCCACCTATGGGAGACCACATGCCCATGGTGCCTGGGCCTCCCATTGGCTTCATGATGGTGCCCACTGGGCCTGGCATAACTGGCCAGACAGATAAGAGCAGCAGGGCTCTTTATCTGTCTTATAACTTGTTCTGTTCACCAGGAGATCCCCATGCTGGATCTGTGTGTTTTCTAGCTGTGTGACCAGGAAGAGTCCCCCTTCCTGATGGAGAGAATAGTTTTGGAGGGGAGAATGGGGTTTAGAAAATGCAGTCTTCATTTGAATTGTGAAATGTGAAAATGAAACTGTCAGATGTTTTGATTAAAAGAAAGAAAATATAAATGTCCTTGTGTTACTCCCCTGCTTAACCGCCCGCCCCATGACCCTCTTTTATCTTCAGAGTCATTGGCGTCTGATTACTCGGACTCCCGGAAATCAGGCCCTTGCTCCCAGTTCCACTTCGCTTTCCTGTAACTGTGATAAAACACTGACCGAATCAAACTTGTGGGGAAAATGGTTTATTTCATCTTACAACTCAGGTCTCACTCCATTACTGAGGGAAGAAATGAGGGCAGGAACCTGGAATCAAGAACTAAAGGAGACATCATGGGGAATGCTGCTTACTGACTTGTCCTCAAGCCACTTGGCTCAAGATGGTGCCTCCCATAGTAGGGTAGGCTTTTCTACATCAATTAGCAATACTACTACTACTAATAATAATAATAGAGTTGCCCCACAGACATGCCCATCCAATCTGATGGAAGCAATTGTTCAACTGACGTTTCCTTTCCCCCCGTGTGTCAAGTTGGCAACCGAAGACAACTGTGACGCCCCCCCACCCCCCCACCCCCCCACCCAGCCCCCCCGTCTGGTGTGTCCTGTTTCATCTGCTCCTTGTGCTTTCTTCTTCGGTGACAGGTCACGGTGCTGCATCTGGCCTCTGTCTCCTCCTATGCTTCTGTGACTTTGCACAGGATAGGCTTAAGAAAGAAGTGGCTGAGCAAAGACACGCGGTGTTAACGAAATAGTCCAACCCTTTCTAACTTTCTCCTCTAACGGATTCTAAGGATCCCCTACAATCCCAGGAAATCCTTGAAATCCTGTCTCCACTCTCTGCCTAGTTTCTCCTGCTCCCATTAGACCAGATGTGGAGCTCCAGGATGAGAAACTCTTGGTCCTCCATGCTCGAGCTGCACAGAATCTTAAAGTGAAATCAGGTGAAGGTGAGCGAGCAGCACATTCCACATCAGTCCAGCTGTTCAGTGAGCTGGAGCATGACAGGCTTCCAGCAGGATCTCTGCTGCCAACAACATCTTTTTCTGCTGTATTTTTCTATTCTTCAAAGATGTGTGGTAGGGGAAAATTACAAGAAAGTTGAAACTCAGCTAATTAGACAGTATTTTGTTTGTTTGTTTTGTTTTTTAATGCTGCATTAAAATTCTCAATTTTCCTAGGAAGACACGCTATAGATCCCCGTGAAGCAATCAGGCAGAGGCAAAGGTTTTCAAAATTCTTTCAGGTCTTCAGAAGTGCTGGGACTTGGTCTACTAAAAAAGAAAAAAAAAAATCATGCGTTCCTCATGCTGGGACATGCTGGATGGAGTCTTACCCCTGAAGTTGTGGGAGGAAATAATCTTGTGAGGTATATTTATATAGTCAGCAGACTGAGGCGGGGTCCTGACCACGTAAACACTATCCAGTCTACTTTGTGCTGTTTGTACCGGTGCTGTTCGCCAAACCTTGCAGTCACGCACAGTCTGTTGGGCCAGGCACCATAGCTCCACACAACAGTGAGGTGCTGGGGTCAGTCCTGTGCATGCAGCATCCCCAGAGGTGTGCACTCTTAGTGACTCCCGGGCCGGGAGGCACCTTTGCCTTCCTGAACACTTTGCATGCAAAGTAGTTCATGTTAACGTTAATGTACACTACTGGTTTTACTTTTTAATTAATTAATTTATTTTACGTCCCAACCATAGTTTCCCCTTCCTCCTTTCCTCCCAGTGCCTTCCCTCCCCACCTCCCCCCTGACCACCCCCCACCCACTCCTGCTCTGTTTCTATTCAGAAAAGGACAGGCCTCCCATGGATACTGACAAATCATGGCATTTCGAGTTGTAGCCAGACTAACCACTAAACAAGTATGAGCTGGGTTGCCTTGCTCAGCCTTAACGCAAGGCAAAGCGCTTAGAATTACTACATTACTTGTTTTAAAAGCTGGCATATTAGATGATGTTGTGCCATTGAGAACTATTAGTCTCTATGTACTCTCATTTGCCCATTTTTATGTGACCTAAAAAACAATCCAAACCCGGAACAGGAGAAAGAAGGACAAAGGAGACTTCATTGAAGATCTCAATGAACTTTGGTAGTTGTGTTGTGTCTGGTTTAATTTTCCCCTAGATAACTTTTGTTAGACTTTTACTCTGGCTTAAGGGACTCTGATAAGCATTTTATGTATATTAGCTCACTTAACTCTCACATCACATATTGAGAATCTGTCATTGGTGTCCCACTGTATACATGACAAAACTTTGCAATCTACCAGTCAGTTGTTGATTTGTTTCTGCAGGGGATATGTGTGACCTGATAGGATTCACCTGATTCTCAATGTCATGCACGGTTGTGGTGGAAAATATGGCCTACACTTTATAGTGCATCCAGAATAATATCCCAGATGCACACTGCCCATGTAGGTGGGTCCCATCAACCCGGAGAGTGCATAGGTAATATTAAAAGGCATGTTGGCAGAATTGTTCAGGATTACCATTGGTCATTGGGTTTAACTTACAAAGCTGGGATTCAAATTCAAGAAAATCTGGGAAGAAAGGGAATTAGTGGAATAATTCATTCTTGCTGACTCCCAGTGATCATCTCTGTTTCCTCTTCCCTAAAAAAAAAAAAAAAAATCAATTAGGAGGGAAAAACCCTTACTTTAAAAATACAAGATCTAGCAATTGAAGTACTGTGTAGGTCTGCATGGTCATTTCAGGGGCTATCGCCAGAACATTAACGTCCCACGTTAGGTTTATCAAGTCCAAATCTCTGAGACCATCATGTGGAGGTGTGGATAGGGTAAAGGATGGAAGATGTGTACATTTATTTCATCGAAAGTCAAAATCTTTTGACACATCCAATCAACTGAATGCCTGTTTTGGAAACAAAATGACCAAGGGCCTCTTTTGGAAGGCATCCTGTGGCTGTGGGCACTGTGAACAAATCCGCTCCTGCTGCCTTCCCTGTTCTCCTCTTTTTGATGGTTATCCTTTTGAGATGGCTGTTGTTGCATTCTCTCCTACTCTGCTCAAAGTCCTAGTGAAATCACTAGTGACTGACGCGAACTTAACAAGCTGAAAAGAAGAGGATGTCAGAAGGGATGTGGTGAGTACCGTTGTCTAATCTTTAACTCCCCAAGGTCTGTACGGAACACAGTGTGCTTTAAAGCTCCTGCAGAGACATCAGAGTCAGAGAAAGGAAGAAGATGCTCATGTTTACCTTAGAAGGGAAGTTCCCCTGCCTTTATGCTCAGGTTGCCCCTGAGCACAATCACAGGATTTTAGAGCGTGCTGTACATGGTTCGGGGGATCTGCCTTCACTCAGTCATTCTTCCAAGCTGTTTGAACTGTGGGCTTGAAGGAGTCACTGTTTCCCAAACAGTATCACAAGAGTCAGAAATATCAGCCAAAGCTGTTATTTCCTAAGCATAACTAAAACCTACTTGTCTATATGGAAATGAACTGATTTGGAAGTAGGGAGTAAATCCAGAACTAAATAAATAATTAAGAAGAGATAAAATATTACCAGCTTGGGATGCACCAAAAAACAGCTAGAAAGTTATTTTTGGCAGTGTATCTTTTCAAAGAAATTCTGGCTAAACTTTAGCCTTTGGCTTGCTGTGGTGGTGTGTATACAACAATGACTTTCTTAATTTTGTCATTGACTTAATCTAGAACATTGGTTATTAAGCTCTTTTTTTCTCAGAACAAAAAAAGTCTAAGATTTTTTCCTACTGATAAAATACAGAAATCAGTATCTTTAGGTTTTGAAAGAAAAAAAAAGTCCAATGATTTTCTTAATTTATCTATTCGAGAATGTTAATCATCAAAAAATGAACAGTCACAAAATATTGGGGAAAAATCTTCAGGAGCAGGCAATATCAAGTATTTGATGTGTCATTGTTAGCAGCCTCCAGAATGTTGTCCCATGAAGGTCAGCTCCTACAAGAACAATACCAATTCTAAAAGGTAGAGAACTGCTAATTTTAAAGTTTTATTCTCCTCAATTATAAAGTTCCTCCATGTGGCTTTTTGTTGTATACACAACTAATTTTCCTATCATCCATTCATCTATCTATCTATCTATCTATCTATCTATCTATCTATCTATCTATCTATCCATCTATCTATCTATCTTGTATCTATGTAACTTTATCTTTCTATCTATCTTAGCAACTACACAGATATATTTAGACATACATGATATTTATCATAGCATCAGTTATTATTTTTAAGAAATATGAAAACTCAAGCATAAGAGAATGTTTTGGTAAATTTTAGAAGATCCCTGCAGCAGTTCTTATAAAAAGAGAATTATTTACATTGAATAGGTGATCTTAGAGATGTAGCTGAGTATAAATAAGACAAAAAAAATTATCCCCCATCAATGATCTCTCCATATGATGTCCATGGGGCAAGAAAGGAGGCTTAGAAAGAAGTCAGGGGCAGACATCAGGAGGAAAGTGAGCCTGAAAGGGGAGAGGGGAATTTAAATTTCTCTGTCTCTATGTGGCTTAAATGTGCTTATGAATCAACTGTGTTTCTGAAACTTAGTTTCCAAGAGCTAACTCATATACCAAAAGGAAACCACATGAAAAGAATTTATTTTTCCTTTACAATTTGGTGCTAGGAAAAAAAAAATGCTTTCATTGGACATGGCAGTTCATGCCTATCATCTCGACACTCAGGAGGCAGAGGCAAGAGTATCAGTATCCAAAGCCTGCTTTTGCTGCATACTGAGTTCAAGGCCAGCCTGGGCTACAAAAGACCCTGTCTCAGAAAAACAAAAACAAAAACAAAAACAAAAAACAAAACAAAAAAAGAAAACAAATGCCCTCAAGAAGAATTTGTCTCTATTTTTCCTCACTTTTAACAAAAATAATTCAAGATGTTTTATATTTAATTCTGGCCTTTCAGGAAACGGAGCCTGAAAATAGATGCTTATCCAGAAACACCAGAAAAGTCTATGATATTAGCAGGTTCGTTCCCACCTCATACCACAGATCACATTTCCAGTGGCTGGGTTCATGTGATCAAACCTATTAATATTCAATCTTGGCTAATATGCTACTTCAGGCATTTTAAGAGAGAAATGAGTAATACCTAAATGAATGATCACGTTATTTTCCTTGCATTTGAAAGTCAAGTTTCAGAATTTGTTAGTGACAGCCTACTTATAACTAAATGTAACTTAATTTTAGACATCCTTACTCTATCATATATAGCTAATACCTTTAAAAATAATCAGAGGGCTCTAAAATTTGCAGAAAAAATATACAGCATTTCCATTTTCCTCCTGTACTAAGGTAGTTGTTTAGATGTAGTGAGCCATCTGAGTTAATTATACCCAAAGGAGGTACATAGACCTCAGAGATTTGATGGCAATGTATCTATTTATTGAAGTCCTCTGTGTATGGAATAAAATAGTCCTTAAAGAATATTACATGGAAAGATCCCAGTATAAATGTATACAGGTACAGGAAACCACAGTCTACTTCAAACGTAGTTTTAAAACTGTACATGCTCTAGAACAGTGGCAGTCAGACACACATGAAACTCTTAAACATCAACTCCATACCCATTTACACAGTCTATACAGCATCTTAGCTTATGGGTCTCCAAGTTGACTCTTTGAGGATAAAAAGCAATTTGGGTCTTAGATAATGTGCTTTTTATTTTTAATGTCTCATGAAATGCATCTTCCTTTGTTTAGGAAATCAGTTGTAGTTCTTTCTCCTGCCTTGATGAAACTACCTACTCTCTGTCATTCCCCACACAAATGAAGCCACCATCTATAGGTGTTTGAAGTAAGCCTTTTCTCAAATAGGAGCTTGAATGTGCTCTGGGAACACTAACATGATTTTTTAATTAACATTAATTCTGCTTCACTTCAACTATGAAAGAAATGGGGTTTCTTCAAACACCAATTAACAAAGCAAACCCCAATAAAGAGAAAACACTCTCTCCCCACCTCCAGCCCCCAACAGGAAATCCCCCCCTGCTGAGTTTTCCCTAAGGTTTCTCTATAAAGTTTTTTTCTGATGAACTTGCTAGGGCTTTAATGAATCAGTACAGATTTTCCATCATATAAACAGAAATATTTAATTTCATGAACGGGTTCATGCTTGACTCTGTTCACCTACCACATAACATCTTTAGGTTTTTCTTCTTTCTTATAACCCATTTCTCATAGTGATTTCTTTATAGTAATCCTTTCATATTCTCCAAACCTGAGAACTCACTTCAACATCAGAAATGAACAGAATTGTCCAAACTTAAGCTTTTGTTTTATTTCTGACTCAATTTTCCTGCTTGAAGCTAGGGAAAGCATTTACTGTCTTTATGTTCATCTGAAGTAAATTTTCCTGCATGGGCCACTCCTAGGACCCCACAGGGACAGTCTCACTTGAAAGAATGACACGCCCAGGGGAAGACATGCCCAGGGGAAGACGCAGCATGCCCAAAGATCCCGCTAGGACAATGCCTCTCACCTAACTTTCAAAGAGAACCTGAGCTGGTGTTTGGTGTGCTACCCAATGACAGTTCAGTGGTCAAAGAAATCTGGGGAACTCTGAAACAGCGATGCCCTTAGAGACTCACAAAGCTTCTTTGTGTACTCAAAACTCAAAAAGTCCTGTCATCAACTAAAAACCTAAGTCACTGTGCTTGGCTCTATTCATTTTTCCAATTAATTTTATTATATTTTTCTCCAAGGCACAAATCACTAGGAAAAACATAGAAAAATAGTAGATCGTAAGTACCAACTAGCTACAATAACAAACTTGAGAGGTGAATGCTTATTCTTGTCTTATACATTAAAACATTGAAGTGCAAATCATTCATTTATCTCCTTCTATCTATCATCTATCTATTATCAATTTATCTATCTATCCACTTACCATCTATCTATCCTTCTGCCTATCTATCTATCTATCTATCTATCTATCTATCTATCTATCTATCTATCTATGTATCTATCTTTTATAGATAGGAACTTATGGAGCTAGCATTCAAATTCAGATCTGCCTGACCTCAAGGCTTGCATTTTGTTTCCTGCTTGCTACATCTAATACACAATCCACAGCTACCTCAGAGTTGTGGCCAAATTCTACTTCTCCTACTCTGTGTTGGCAGACTCCTTAGATATAGTGGCAGTTTCTCGAAGGCAGACTTGTGTCTTATGGTTGCCTGTGTGGCTGTTGTGCTCAATATCATGCCTATTGCAGTGCAGATGATCTGTACTCTGACCAGAATGAATGTGGGGTAAAGGAGAAGAGAGGGCACTAAAAACCTTCCAACTTCTTACAGGAGTTAAGTTAAATCACATGACTTCCCAGGGACAGAAAGCCAGACAGATGAAAAGGTTTGGTAACTACTTGTGGGGGTTGGAAAGATGGGTCATCAGTTAAGAGCTCATACTGTTCTTGCAGAAGACAGGTGTTCGATTCCCAGCACCCATGCCCAGTGGCTCTCGGCTGCCTGAAACTCCAGCTCCAGGGGATCCAACATCCTCTTCTAGTCTCCCTGGTTTCCTGAATTCACTTGTTTGGTATACACACACACACACACACACACACACACACACACACACACACACACACGCACCCACCATAAACACAACTGAAAACAAAATAAATCTTTAAAAGAACTTTCTCACATGAGGGAAAACATTTTAACTAGATTTTAGCTTATCCTGAGTTGAGGGGTTTTCTAAGGAGCAAAAGGGTGACAGGATGATGTCTTTCATATTTGACAGATGCGACTATGATGTGAAAATTGGATTATTTAAGTCTGAGTTAGAGGTGATTGTAACCTTCAGAGTTCCATTCAGACCTGAAACTCTATGAAGTTTTGGGCTGATCTGTACAAGAAGGGTTCGCAGACACTGGAAGTCCATTATCTTCCTCAAGGCTCAACTCTAGATTCGCATTGGGTGTTCTTTCAGCTAACAAATAATAGCCCCTGACAACAATTTCCGAGTCATATAGAAAAAATACCAGGGGTTGTTTGAAGACAAGTCAAAGCTTTATCATAGCATAATTTGTTACTGAATAAAGTATTATATAAATTGGGGACATCTGTCCACATTGGGATCCCCCCAATGACCTATATATGTATGAAAACCTAGAAAGAAACCTTGTTAGAGTATGTGTTCCTCAAAACACATCTTTGAAAAGGATGTGTTCAATGAGCACACTAGTGTAGATGTAACCAACTGTCTTATTAAATAAGAAACACAGAATCAATGCAAAGAAGAAAGCCAAGAGATCAGAGCTAAGAGCCTTACCCACCTGCTGCAGCTAACCTCTTTAGCCAAGAAACCTCTCAGAAAGAGACCTACTTCCTGTCTGTTTGTCTTTATATAGACTTTCTGTTCCGCCTTCTCATTGGTTGTAAACCCAAACACATGACTGCCTCGTCACTGCCTGTATGTACAGTCCTCCAGGTCTTCTATGGTATTGAGATTAAAGGCATGTGTCTCTAGTGTTGGCTGTATCCTTGAACACACAGAGATCTACCTAGCTCTGCCTACCAAGTGCTGGGATTAAAGGTGTGCACCACCAACGCCCAGCTTTTGCTTTGGCTCTAATAGCTCTGACACCCGGGCAACTTTATTTATTAACATACAATTAAAATCACATTTCAGTACAAATAAAATACCACCATACACTAGAGGGAAGGAAGATTTTATACTATTACCATCTGCATAGCTTTTGCAAGCTTGGTGAACTAGTTGCAATATTTATGGAAACCTTGAGAACATACAGGGATGTAGGTAGATGTTGGATGTGGGATGAAGAAGGCTCATAAAGTTGAATGTGAGGGTTGGCATAGACAGATACATTCTGACCAAAATAAGACCATAAAATACAATCCCTTCATGCTAAATAATATATACACACACATATATATATGTGTGTGTGTGTGTGTGTGTGTGTGTGTGTGTGTGTGTATAATAAAATAACTGTATTTCAGTGTATTTGTATCTGATGCTAATTATATCTTAGCCTAGAATTCCAGGAGAGTGGCACAAGTCTGAGCAACTCTTCTCCTGTACAAGCTTGGCTGTGATTTTCTCTAAAGACCAATCTGGGCATGAGATAACAAAAAGTATCTTCATTGGCTAAGCCCCCTGCAATCCTATGTGAACTCTACTCCACCATGTCAACGCTTATAGAGCCTAGTTATTCCCCCATCGCTCATAGTGCAATTTATAAGGACTAGCAGCCCCGTTTGAATATTTCTGCTAGACAAATCATTAGAAGTTATTTTCAGATAAAACCAATTTCATCTTATCAACTTTAAAAAGAAAAAACAAAATAGAACATCCTTGAGACCTGTTCAAGGTCATTTATTCAGCTAAAAATGTTTTAAGAGTAGACGATATACCAAATTCCTGGAGACCCAGCAAGGTGTGAAATGTGCTGTTTTCTGAAAGAGCTAATGCATCCAGAGAAAAAGAAAACACTCAGGAATTACAAGAATACAAAGCAGAAGGTGGCAATCCCTCTAAAAAGAGAGGGGCTGGAGAGATGGCTCAGTGGTTAAGAGCACTGACTGCTCTTCCAGAGGATCTGGGTTCAATTCTCAGCACCACATGGCAGCTCACCTCCAGTTTCAGGGGATTCAACATCCTCACACAGACATATATTCAGTAAAACACCAATCTCCATAAAATAAAAATTAATACATTATTAAAAAAGAAAAAGAAAAGAAGAGGCACAGTGGCTTTCAAAGATCAAGGCATTCACTATCAACTATGTTTGTCAGATCTAGGCTCATCAGGCTACTGTGGCTTCACCTTCCATGACATTTGGCCCAATATGAAAAGTTTAACCAAAATGTGTAGGATAATCTCAAGTCTAGAAACATCCATAACTTAAAGATATTCTTGGAAACATGATGCTCATGTTTCGGGGTGTGGATAAAAAATAAAACAATTTTGTATGAAACCTATTTAAAATATTAAGGAATATGTGAATGTCATGGAGTTTTGGAGAATTTCTGTTGTTCAATATGTGAATATTCTCCTGCTTTATTTGGTGATATGAAAAGGAATAATTTGTAAATTTAATCATGAAAAATATATGTTTTAAACTTTTAATAGTATATGCTAGCATATAGTAGGCAGGCAGCAGTATGAGAATTGACTGTTTTTATTCTTACATCTGAATTCTATATGGTTTTCTAAATAGGTTCATAGGAATAAATGACTTTTAAATGGATAGCATGTATGCTGTTTAATTGCCAGGAAGTAATAAGCATTTTGAATTGAGTAAGATTGAAGGTTTTAAATTCTGTAGTTTAAACTTGCTACATATTTTAGATTTTAAAACAAATTTTTCTTTGAAGAATTCTACCATGATCAAAACTTCTAGAAGTGTGAGAAAGAATGACTCTGTCTTGTCCTCTTGTCATCTTTTCATTCTTTTCTTTTCCTGTGACATAAAGTGACATACCCAAGTGCTGGTCCTTTATCAGATGTTTCTTTGAGCAGCGGAGCAGAAAGCTGTAATATCTATTCATTCGTAATGTGTCATTCTGAATGTATTAGGGACAATTGACTTCACATGTCATAGGTAATTAGAAGAGTCACCTTCAGTTCCAGGTTATTTAAATCCAGCACTATATACTTTTAATGAGCATACTTACTGATGTCTTTCAACATGTCTGAATATCTCTGTACCTTTTACTTTTATAGTGGGCAAAGTATTTCCATGGACATTTGACTTAAAGAATTTATTGAAATTCATTTCCTCTTCTTTGATTTCTCATTTTTCCTTTTTAAATTTATTCTTCTCTCATACAATACATTCCAACAGCACCCTCCCCTCCCTCCACTCCTCCTAGCCCACCCCCATCTCCCCTCTCCCCCAGATCCACTCCTCCTCCATTTCCCTTCAGAAAAGAGCAGTCCTGCCAGTGATACCAACCGAAGACAGCATCACAGATCAGTAAGACTAGGCTGGATGAGGCCACCCAGTAGGAAGAAAACAATCTCAAGAGCAGGCAAAAGTATCAGATTGTGCAACTGAATGTTACCATGCTAATTGTCATAAATCAGATCATTTATTTCTGCTCCATGATTCTGTAATCCAGAATGTTCTGTTCATAGAAGTCATTTTTACAGGCTCACCTGAGAAAAATGAGAGAGAGAGAGAGTTAGCAGTTATGAGCGAAAGGTGGGAAGTTGGTATGTCTCTGATCTCAGGGACCAGGAGGCAAAAACTTGATTCTTAGAGTTCTGCCATTGAGAGAATTCCACTGAGCTCCCCAAAAGTGACTGACAGAGCCTTCCTTCAGATGATCTTGCTCAGCTATCACCCAGATGGTCAGGCTATGGAGATGTGCGGATTGAAACTTTCAAGCTGAGTCATGGGTACTTTTCAGACATGTTCAGACCTGACCCATTCTTTGCACATTTGGCACATATTTGTCTTCTGGGTAAGGTGTCATTAACACAGGATCAATTCCTAATACTTGTGGAACCTGTCTCCAAGAAGCATTGTTTGATACCATGCATCAGTGAGGTTTGGAGTCTCATTCACTGAGGCTCTAGCAGCACAGTCCATGGCCTGGCACTCCTTGTTTCCCAAAAATACTTATTTCCTTTGACTTCCATGACATCAAACTGTTCTGTTCCTTCCTAAAGACATCACTCATATGTGATCAGATTCAAATGATACCCAAGAAAAGTGAGACAACACATCCATATTGGGATGAACTAAAGCAATGCTTTCTAAAAATATATAGTCATGCAAATATGATAGAGACTAACATCCTCCCCTTGAATTGTCCAAAGTGAGAGTTCACGACCAATCAGCTCCTCCACATGATGGCTGAGGGGTCAGTGCTCCTTCTATTTCACAGATCCACCCTTGCCTTCTGTCTACCCAGAAGGGGAAGATCAAAAGGTGAGTAGGCATAACAAAGCCATTTCAGCTCATAATCCATTGTTCTGAACATAGTCACACCATCACACTTGACTTCAGAGGAGCCAGAAGAGTGTTCTCTAGACTTCATCCCAAGAAAAGATAGAAAATAGATTTTAAGAGACATCTAAAAGTTATACTTCACAATACATTTATATCATTTATGTACAAAGAAACAAATGCAACAAGATGAGTAAAGAACATGTGTATATATACATATATATGTAGGTGTGTATATTTATTTATGTACATATTGTATATAATATCTTTAAATGTACACAAATACACATCCCTATATATACATATATACATACATATATATGATCTTACCAGGGGAAGCAAGCACATCACCACTAAAGAGATGTGCAACTTCAAATAACAATTTATACAATTGTTAATATTTGAAAATGTGCTAATACTAAGGGCTGATGAGTATTTGGGAAAACATTAATTTTATACATTTCTGATGGAAGTGCATATCCTTAAAGAAAATAATCTGCCAATGTATACTACCATAAACTACTGAACAGAAATCTAACCTTTAGAAAATGGGTTCTCTGAGATATATCCTAGGATTCTGAAACATCATTCATTCAGCTGCCAGAGGTTCACAACTGTATCCCTCTTCCAGAATTTTCCTTTACACAGAAAGCTGTTTTACCCCAAACATGCCCCATTCCTTGGTGGCAGCCCATCTGGAGACTAGTCAGCACGGAGGGTATAAAGCTTGGTTCCGTGTGGGGCGTTTACCCACCACCCCCACAGCTTCCCAGAGTTTTCTTGAGTGCGAGCAGCAGGAAATATTAGATAGAAGGATTTATAGCGGAGAATGTTGCGGAGATAAACAGATAGAAAATAAAGGATAGCCTCGAGAGGGCCTGGAACCTATTCCAACGGGCCCGGACTGTCTCTGGTCCAGGGTTTTTATAGAGACGCCAAGAGGTGGAGCAAAAGACCTCCTCCTCCAGCACAGCCAAGTGCAGGCCATCTCAGACACCTGCACTCAGGCCCGTGGTCCTGATCATCCTCTATTCGGACCTGCTGGGTAAAGCCACGAGGAACCCCAGAACGGGCTCCCACAGTTCCGTGACCTCAGAGGGCATATCTGCCGAGGACCAGCACCTTGAATCAAAAGTACATAATTTTTCAAAGAGTCTGCAAAGATCATCATATATCAGAATTATAGAATTCAGGAACAAAGTCGTTTCGCTTGGTGATCAGTAACTTGCAGAAAAAGAGTTGCAGGTTTTGGGAATTTTGGAGACTAGTTTCAGACGTGACCCAGAATGTTGGAAAGGCTCTTATTGATTTGTTTTATTAATGCATTTATTTTTTTGAGGCAGGATCTCACTGTGAATTCCAAACTGGCTTTGAACTTGTGATCCTTCTGCCTGAGAGTGCTGGGGTTCTAGGCTCGCACCACCATTCCAGGCTGAGAAGGCTTCACTTACCTGTTTATCTTAAAATGTAAAATGGTCCTTATGTAGCAATATATGTGTAGAAGGCTTTGTCTAATGGCCACAGAACAATCACTGGTTTTCATTTTTTGGCAGTTTTCATCCAGTATTTGGGTACAACTGTTCACAGGCAACTTGTTTGTATTTTGCCCTAGGTGATTTGTATGCTTGTGTCTTTTTCATGTTCCTTGTGCAATGTTCTGTATTCAATCCATATAACAATTTTCTAAAGTGGTCAAATGATTACTGATGCCCATTTTACAGATACAGAAATAGTTGGCAGAACATTTTTTTAAAGTATCTCTTCATTACGGGGCTGTAACTTGAAGAGAACTCTCTTATCTTTGAGAGTAGGTATGTCCTCTTTAGGAAATTTTTTTTAAATAAAAATCCACAGGAAAACTTGAAGTTGCTTTCTTTTCTAATATTTTTTTCCCATTTCTTCAAAGCTAGTATATGTTCCAAGTAGAGGCTTGTATCAGTATCACAGCATCTTAAGGACTCTTGTGTGCACTTACCTACACTGGGGACCAGGAAGAAGAGATGCTTTCAGAGCAGGGCTACATCTCTTTATAAAGTTTGTAATGGGTTGAGAACATTTTGGCCATAGTTACTCAATAAAACACAAAATGGTTTTTTGCCACTAAAAGCAACTGGGAATCTGTAAGTGTAGAGAGAAGGAAAGAGAAAGATTGAGAGAGAAATGACCAAACATACCAGGCCTACCATCCCATTTCTGAAACTGGCAAGCTCTTGCCTATGAGTCTAAGGTCCATTTGCCCTGCCACCTGGTAGTATTACAGGCCTGCCTGAGTGACTGTGCCAAGTCTGTAGGAGATTCGATGCCCCAGGCTGTTCCCATCTGCTCCTCCCATGGAAGCCAAGCAAATTGCAATCTCCTATCTTTCCTCCTCCTGAACACGCATCTGACAATGATCTTTCATTGTAATTATTGCTGGGAAGTAACCAAGGTGTGGCTTTAGAACACCCAGTTCTCTCAGAATTGTAAAACTGCTCTAAGGAAGCCTTGATTTTGGCCCTAGCATTAAAGACAAGGAGTCTTGCTGCTTCAGAAAGGTCTTTGTTCTAAATGCAATTGGCAGCTCTTTCCTCCCATTGGTTTCCCAACCATACCCAGCCTTGAGGAGGGCTTCTCCTCCCTCCTCTGGGTGGGTTTATAGTTGAGGCTCTAGAATCTCACCCACAACTACTCTGTGGACTGCTACTTTTTTTTTAATTTAATGTATATACAATGTGTCACAGCATAGGTCTAACTTTTGATCTTTAGAGTTTCTGCCAGTGGAGACAAGCAAAAAAAAAAAATTATTCAACTACATGTCTATTACTTTGAACCCTGGGCTACCCACACCCAGTCCCAAGTGAACAAAGCACATCTCTTTATTGTTGCATCTGACTAAGGTGGCAGTCAATAGGTTTCCAGGATCCCATCCTTTCTCTTCTTCCTATCCCTCACCTTGGACCATAACTGGGCTAGCGCCATGTCTCCTTCCTGAAGCCACTTCACATGCACAAGCACATAGGCCCTGTAAGGGCTTCCCAGGATAGGATGATGATAGCATCTACCCTTGTAGGCAGTGGACCTGTAACCTCGAAGTTCCCAAGTAAGGGACCAATAGGATAGCTTAGTAGGTAAGAATACTTGCTGCTCTTCCGCAGGACTCAAGTTCAGTTACAGCACCTACAACCATTGCCTCTTTAGCACCTAGAATTGCAGCTAAAAAGGGACCCACATTACCCTTTTCTGACCTCCAAGATCAGCCCACACATATATTGAAGATGCATAAATACAAACACAAAAAATAAAAATAAATAAATCTTTTTTAAAATTTCCTGATTGAAAAGTACAAGACAGAGTTTCCTTTGTAACAATGAGGGACTCTCATAAGGGACACGTGATATAAAACTATGTGACCCCCTCCCACAGAGTGGAGGATGTGGTGAGTGGCAGCATAGGGAGGATGCCTCTTTTTTCTTTTTTTATCATAAGAAGCAAATTTAGCTTCCTATCCATCCCTCAGACTAACTTAGCAAATGAGGTCATCTGCATTCTGAAAAATCAAGAAATGACTGGATTTTACAGCCTGCGCCACAGATCCTCAATACCACATACCGTTTTAACAAAGGACAAGAGAGAAAAAGAAGAGTGGTCATCAAACAGGCTGAAATTTTGTACAAATAGCAAGCAGATGAACATAGCAGGAGAATCCTCTGGGGTCCTGCTCCGAATGCTCCCCGAACTGGGGCTCCTTTTCCTTCTTCCCTGTGCCAGTGGAGAGCTCTGCTGACCCTGGGTCTTTCCAGTCAAAACACACCTGTCTTCAAAGAGCCATATGCTTGGAAGCAGAGTTCATCCCTTGCTCTAGCTAGCAGAAAGTCTGCACTGTGCATCTCTTCAATTAAGTACACAAAGAGACCCAAAGCATGGGCAGGTAAGCATCCAGAAGCCTGTCCCGACAGCTGCTGCAAGCTGTTGCTGCAGCGAGCAGAGAGCAGCAGCCTCCTTTTCAATCATTTTAACATATTTAAGTGTAAGATCCTGAATATTAGATGATAAAAGGAGGAACACTGGCCCCAGAGGTTGTTATTTTATAGGGTTTTTTCTTTCTTTCTGGAATTGGCATAGAAACGTGTTTCCTACTAAGAGAGAATATGTTCAAATCAAAAATTGTGCCTTTTTAGAAAACTCTGATTTTTGGCAGAATATCCATTAATTCTGAGTGAAGGAATAACCAACCATTCTCGTCCTAGACTAAATGCTATAGGGCATTTTATTTAGAAAAGGGAACATTCTTCACATTTCCCAGGGAGTGAAAAAGAAAATAAAAAGCATTACAAATGCTGTGTGGTTTCTTTCTAAATTAGTCCTTTAAAAGTAAATACAATGGACAAGCCTTCTCAGTGTGCTTTTTTCCCTCTGAGGAACGAATGAAGATCTCTGTGGTTAGTGATATTTTTAATTCAGCTCTGGACTTTCTCCAGGAAATCACTAATAATTACTAATTGTATTTTTGTAAGTTAATGAAAGGACACATTCTTTTTGTGTGCTTCCCTCCACTTGAGTAATCAATGATGTTGCTTCTTGACATGACTGAGCGAAGTGACAATACAGAGCATGGGTTAACTTAGAAGGCTTCTTTGTGTGGTCTTGCAAAAATCAAGTGTAAAGTCTAGTCATGCAACTGTCTTAAAAGAAACTATTTGTTCCTTCATTCCCTCCCCAATTCCTGCGGCTTTCATTTCTTAGAGCACTAGTCAAAAGAGGGCCATTGACTGGAGTTGTTCTAAAAGCAGATTCCCATTGATGGTGTACATAAACAACCATATCTGCAAAAATATCTATACGAATAGAGTTTCCTTAGAAACTCAGTGTATGCGATTTAATTCAATGACAATGTCAGTAAAGCAACAGAAGTAGGTTTTCTGATGCTATCAAGGCTCCCATACTAACTCTGATAGCTCCTTCAAATAGGGAAGTTGGGTTTATTCAATACAATTTCCAGGTCTTTCTCAGAGTTGAATGGAAGTTTGTGATTTGGAGGAAGAGCCTCCTAGCAATAACAAAGAAGAAAGACTGGAGTATTGCATCAGAGGGAGACCATTCCTCCTTCGGACTCTTTCGGTAACTAGGAGGGCATCATCATAGCAACCCTCAGCTAGACTCAGCTTACAAATGATGCATGGTGCCGAGCAGCTTATAGTAAAGGCTGCTGCAGAAACTTGGATACAGTTAGAAATTACATTGGTTTAGGAAAATGGCAGTAGTAGGTTCTCCTCTAGAGTCTGTGACCTCTCCATATGTGGGTACTTGGCTAGGTTTGCAGGATCAGGCATGAATTCCGGACTATTTAGCTGGCCATCAGTCCAATTAGACAGCTGTCGGTTACCACCAAGACAAAGGCCACTATCGTGCCATTGGAGAGTTCTTCTTGGACTGATTGTCATTGCATTTCATAGACTCCACAGCTTCATGGGACTACTGGTTGCTTTTCTTTCTGGGCAGTGTATGCAGCACCTTCTGATATTACAAGTGCTAGTCCTCAGGGAAGCCTCCAAGTCAGCTCCATCTTGTTTCCTTCCAGTCCTATAGCCAAACTGTGCTATCTCTTCAGACATTGGATCTTATTATTTTGAGAAGCTCTTGTCCTCTGACCAACAGCCTGAAGGGTGGTTTTCCATGCCTGGCATTGAGTTTTTGTTAGACAGTCTATCCCTCTTTTGGTGGGGACGTTATCACCCCATGTGGCATAATTCCATTTAAACCACACACACACACACACACACACACACACACACACACACACACACACACACACACACACACACTGTATTTTTAAGTGATCTTATTAAATAATATGTTTCCTATGGCAATATCAAGCATTCTTAGTTTTACTTATTGCCCCGCCCTCCTTTCCCCTCTGTATTACCCTCTCTCCTCCCTCTCCCATTAAAGTCTGCCCCCTTCTCCTTTCCTCACTCACAGTGCTTGCATTTCATTAGCCTCCTCTCTAGAGTTCCTTCTCCAGCACTCCAGACTGCCATGGTCTCCTTCTACTCTCCTGGCTTCTGTAGTTACATCAGGTCATGTGCTCAAATCCAGCGATTGTGAGCCAGGATCCACAAATAAAAGCCAGTGTGTAGCATTTGTCTTTCTGGGTCTGTTTTCTCCCTCAGTGATCATTTCCATTTCCATCACTGCAAAACAACACTAATCTGGAGGTTGATTTCATCTAGCTTAGTATCACTACCTGGGACCACCCACAGTTCACAGTATTTCCTTCTTGACACCTTAAAGGAGCTATTTTTGTTTTAAATCTGCCCTGATTATCCCTTTTCTTACTTAGTATATTTTGTCAACCTTGCATCACTCCCACCCAACTCCTGGGATACTGTGCCAAGGAAGTGACTGTGGCCATCTATCCATGAATCAGCCCATCTACCCATTCTCCTGGCTCTAAAACACATGATATGCTTCTCAGCATTAGTACAACCTCTACGAAGCCACATTTTTTACATGTGATTGCATGTAATTGTGGGGTTGCATGGGATACTGAGGGTAGCCCTCATGGGGGAAGGAACAGCCAAGAGAGAAATATTTCTGCCACGAGATAGAGTCTAGAAAGAGGGGGGGAAAAAGAGTACCTTGACATTGTACACAGCCTCTGGAATCCAGCTAGACTCAAGTTCAAATCATGCTTTGTTGCTTCAAATCTGTAAGACCTTTGCAAAATCATATCCATCAAGTTCTTTGCAGCCTAATGCCAGGCACAGTATGCTTAGTAAACAAAATATACTTACACTTAGGTTGGTACCAAGTGGCAGCATGCAGAATGACTATTGACTATTAGAAATGGACACAAGTTGTAGTCATCTTTTTCTTCTAATTCCCAATGTTCTCTGTCCTGAACACAGTTTGTTAGCCCCTAAAATATCCACTTGCCCCCATGTCTCCAAAATCTGAACCAATGACCTCAGCAGCACACCTGGGGGAAATGACTGATAAACAATCATGCACCTGCCAAGATTAGGGACAGGGAGGGTTTGCTCTGAAAAGATTAAAATGAACATGTGCTCTGTTACTCTCTCATTTCACTAGAAATATAAGAGTATCTGGCTGTTTCATGAGTAGAGCCACAG